TCTGCTGTTAAGATCCTGAGTCTATATTACTTTTAACATAAACCATACTACTCTTAAAACTGCATTGAGGATTTCAACATACCTATGGGAGTGGTTGAGATCCTTTGATCTAGGATTTGGCTGGAAATATTAATAGGGACCATGGAGAGGAAGAGTAGGTGGAAATATGAGGATTACTCAGCCCATGCACTTGGCTCCCAGAATACAGTAAGTTGCTCAAATCGAGTTTTTTGGGGACCGGTCCTAGTAAATTTGATTTCCTATGCTAACAGAAATGAAAGCTTATTGTTCTGTGATAGGACAGGTAGAGTAGCAGAAGAAACAGCATTAAACTTAGGAGTCAGAAGACTCATGTCCTAGTTCTGACATTTACCTGTGTGACCTCAGACAAGTCACAGCCTCTCTGAGCCTCAGTCTCCTCATCCATAAAACTGGAATACTTGGACTACCTATCTCATGAGAGTATTATGAAGAAAATACTTTGCAAACCTAAAAACACTTTAGACATACATTTATTAAACATCACCACTTTTCCTAATTTTTATGTCCTTTAAAGGCTACACAAATTACCTTTGGTAAAAGCAGTTGCATAGGTTCAGAGCTTTTTAGTGCATAACTACTCTTAATAACCATAGCTAGCACTGATGTATCATTTTAAGTGTCTATGTGTTAGCTCAATTGAGGGTTACAACAATTCTGGGAAGTAGGTACTATTATTATCCCCATTTTACAAACTAGGAAACTCAAATTGAGAAAGGTTAAGTGCCCCAGTTTGACATAACTAGTGTATATCTGAGGCAGGATTTGAATTCAGGTCTTTCTGACTCCAAGCCCAACATTCCATCCATTGAATGGAATGGACAGTTAAAATTCTGTCAGTTGGTTCTCAAACTGACAGACAATTGGTTTGGCCTCCAAATCATCTCTAGCATTAGTTACAGCTTCCTCCCAGTGAATTAGGTAATGTTTGGATGGACTTTTAACATGCTCTGGTCTTTGTGGAACAGAACACATGCCTGATATAGGCCTAAAGAACTGAACATGCAATACCTTGTGTTACTGATGTGGATGCTTTTTTGTCAACATTAGCAAGGATACACCTTGATTTGTCTGTGACTGTTTTTTCACCCCGAGCATGTTCTTTTTTCCTTGGAGATGCTCTGCACAAGGCAACATCTTTCTTGGGTTTTTTAATATCGAACTTATCAGAAACTCGCAGCTCTGAGTCCCGATCATTTATTCCTTTTTTGCAAAAGAATTTTCTCCCTCTGTGTCTTCTACTTGATCGTCTTTTACAAGCATTCAGAGCAAAATCATAGTCTTTAGTGGGCAAAGCAGGAGGGCTGCCTTCAGTGGTTGATGAGAAAGACATTTGGAAAGGACTACTTGAATTTCCTTGGTCAGATAACGGAACTTCACTTTGCTCTTGGGAGGACAGATCTAAATTTTTAGCTCCCTGCTTACATTTATGCTTAAATCCTTTTCTTTTTACACCTAATTGGCTCTGAATTACAGCTTCCAGGTCAACTGTCCTCTGACAATTTGACATTCGTCGTGTAGTCCTAACGTAATACTCCACAGGAAACAGAAGACCGTCAAGCATTGTACAAGAATTTAATGGATTTTCTGTAGGACCAGGAGAGATCATTTCTGTGGTAGGACTCACAGTCTCACTTAGGACCTCTTTCTTTTCAAGATTTTCACCTCTGCTATCAAGTAGGTTACCAGATGGTTCTAAAGGCTTCAAGCTCTGATTCTGTGCATCAAAATGTGTGTTTCTGCTTAATGAATGATTGAGCTCATTTGCAGAAAATGCTTTGTCATCTGATGGCAAGGTGGAAGGGCTAGACATCTTTTTATCCACATTTATGTCATCATTTCTCATTTGGTCACCTGGAGAGATAACATATTCTTTCCCTCCTTCCTCTAATTTTTTAGGTGAAACATGAATAAGGTCCATCGAATGCTCGGTAGCCAGCTTATAGTTATCACAGATTTCTTCAAGAGGAACACACTCAAGTTGCTGAATATTACTGTCATCCAAAGGATTGTGTAAAGAAAATGTAGTCATCTTCGGAAGATTATTTTCTTTCAAAATTGCACTGGCATCATTTTCGAGTTCAGCAGCTGGAGCAACAAGACATTCACCGATTTCTGTGATTGGTCTGGGAGAATTCTGGATCTCACTTTTACCACACGAAAACTGATTTCTTATCTGAAACACTGGTAACTCAGGATTTTTTATAGCAAACACTTGTTTTTGCTGTCTTTGTCTATTATTCATAAGTGAATCAGAGCCAAAGAAAGATTCATTTCCTTTTGATACTGGTGTCTTTTTTCGATTCTTCATTCTATTCAATGGCTGTTTATTTTGCTTTTTCTCATCATCTTGTCCAGCAATGCTACAAAGGAAATTTTCCTGGCAGTTATTACCTATGTGTTCAGGACATATTCCTGATGAGCTCAATAACTCAGGCTCAAAGTCAAGTGTGACAGCTGTTTTCTCCTTGGTTTCTTCGTTAAGACAGACATCAATCTGTAGTGTACATGCTTCTAATTTATCACCGAGAGATACTTTGTCTTCTGGCTCTAGAGAGACAAAAATAGTTTATGAATAACATGTTAAGCACTAGACTACAATTCAGGTGAAAAATGAAACAAACTTTATAAAGGATTCCATTAATGTGGAAAAAATCAGTGGACCAAGAAAAAAGAGTTTTGAATTTAAGTCCTGCCTCCTCAATTTATCACCTGAGTAACCATGGACAAACAGGAATTCTAAGAGGTATAATATTCTCATCTACAAAAGGGGGACAATAATACTTGCCCTATTCACCTCAAAAGGATGTTGTAGGGATAAAAAAAAAAGATAGCGTATATGAATGCAAAAATGCTATTATGAGTATAAGTTGTTACTGTTCATTAAAAGCTGTTACTTTTCCAGTACTAAGCTCTGAACATGTTTAGTGCATTGTGGTAGATTGTGGGAAGATACAAAGATAAATATGTTCTCCAATCCTCAAAGAGGTTACAATACAGTACTACACTCAAACATGAACAGCTTGCTAGTTACCATAATTTTAAAACTAATTTACATAGAGAATTAATTTCATTGACAAAGTGCTTTTCTCCCCATATTTCATCAAGAATTACCTATTTCTCCAAATTCTTTTCCTTTGTTTCCTAAATTCTTTTCCTTCCTTTATCCCATCTTAACAAAAATTTATATTTGAAAGCTGAGATAAAAAGATTAAATATAAAAAAGTAATATAAAAAATTCTGTCTTGTTTGTAAGGTAATATCCAAAAAAAATTTAAATGAGTTCAGCAAATATAAATGACTAAAATGAATTGGCTTATTTTTACCTGAGTTTGTTTGTATTGAGGTTTCCTGCTTAAGCATGCAATTCTGTTCAGTTTTCGAAGAATTTTTTGCCTTCTCAGCTCTTTGAGCACGCTAGACAAAACAAAAGCAGTCCCAGAAGCAAGTTCAATAAAAGTAAGTTTTCTCAAAGCTTATTCCACTAAAGAGATAATAAGGAGCATGATAACAATACTGTCATCTGTGAAGGCAGTATTTGTTTCTCAGGAAAAGAATGCCCTACCTGCATCGAGCCAGTGTCTTGCTGTACTCTCTTTTTAAGAATGCCAGCTTTTCCTTCAACTGGAGAGAGAAAGGCACCAATCTAGAATTACACATTTCCAAAACAAACCCCAAAGAAATACTGGCCCGGCCACCTAGACTAAAGATAAAGGGCTGGACCAAGTAGGAAGTGTCAGAGCTTTTGCAGTGAGAGCAGGGGAAAATGCAGTTTGATTTTTATGCCTCTGAAGTTATTTGAATAGAAAATATTCCCTGCATTTTTCTCCTCCTAACTTCAGGCTTGTTTTTTCGAAACCCTCTGCCTGGAGTTGGGGGCGTGGCGGGGTGGAGAGAAGGAGCGGTCCAGAACCAGCACTTCAATCCAACAAGGACAATAGCAGTTCGGGGCTTGGCATCACCAGCGTTTAGCATCACGTGTACCGTAGGTGCTTAATAAGTGCTTGCTGAATTGAATATTGAGTACAAGGCACTGTGCTAGTCACAAGGAACACAAATTCAAAAAACAGCTCAGTCGCTTGACCTCGAGACGCTTACGTTCTACCGGGGAGGGGCAGAATTCGTGGATAGTGCGCTAGACTGGAATCAGGAAACCCTGAGTTCGAATGCTGCGTCAGACAGACACTAGCTATGCTGTGTAATCCCCTCGGGGTCGGTTCTATCACCTGTAAAATGAGGGTAGGCCCTTCCAGGGCTGAGAGGATCAAATGCAGGTGCAAAGCCCTTCGCAAGCTTTAAAGCGCTATAGCAACGTTGTTGGCAGGAGTAAACACGAGGTCCCAGGCGGTGGGGGGCGGGGAGCCAGGAGAGATCCCCGCGAAGGGTTCACTTTCAGCAGCCGGGAGACAGGGTGGAAAGCCCTCCCTGACCCGACCCCAGCCACCCCCAGACATCACAAGGCCCCTTCCCAGCCACCCCGCGCCGCGCACCTTCTCCTTCTCCTCACAGCTGAGCACTCTCCCCGCCGAGTCCTCCATGGCTGCAGCCACCAGGAAGGATGGGGTGAGGCTCCTTCCTGCCGCCTCCAGGTCGTGGGGACGCTGGGGCCGGGGCCCTACCGAGGCCGTTGGGAGCCCACAGCCCAGCTGCGAGCGCCCACCCTTGCAAATCCCGCCAGCTCAACCCAGGCATCGGGGCACACTCGCCGAACAGCCGATCGAATCCAGCTAGAGGAGCGCAGACCAATCGACCGAGGGGGCGGGGCGAGAGGGCGTTTCCCCTTCCAAACCGGAAGTGACGGTGAGACCGGAAACGGGAGGAAGGGAGACTTGAGCTTGGGAGACGGAGGTTGCAGAGATGGAGCTGAGCGAGCTACTCTACAATAAGTCCGAGTACATCGAGACGGTGCGCTGGGCGACGCCGGGCCGTGGGGAGCGGGGCGGGGGCTAGAAGGGCAGGTCGTCCTGGTAAATTCCCCGCTGATGGCTGGGCCGCCCCGCCCATCCCCGAGCAGCCCCAGCCCCTCCCCGGCGTCCTGCCTCTCCCAAACTTAGCCTCGTCTAGGCCACCTGTCACCCCTGGGGCGCAGGCCTCGGGTCTCCCCGCCAACCTTCCCCTTTGCTCTGTTCTCACTGCCCGCCCTCTTCCTTCTTCTCTTTGGAGGAGAAATCATCTCGGGCCCTCAGAACTGGAGGGAGTCTTAGCGATCTTTGTTGTACAGATAAGGAAACTGAGGCCCAAAGAGGGGACCTGATTTACCCCAGACCACACAGAAGAAGCACAGAGTTTGGATAAGAAGCCAGACCTCATGACTACGAATCCAGTGCTGTTCCATTACCATGAGATGCTTTCTGCATATCTTTATTTGTTCAGTTTAGGTGCCTCCTGGTTCCACATTTTGTATCGTCTTCTTAACGTTTTACGTGTGTTGCACACATCCAACTTGCACAGGCTTTGCATGGTAAGGTCTGCTACAGGAATTCCTTTTCCATGCCCACTACATGGCATTGGCCACACACCTCATTCAGATTTGCCTTTTCATCTTGCTTGTCCAGGGTCTGCATTAATGGTAGCGCTTAGGTGGAGAATAAGCTTCTTCCTCGAAGCTACCAAGCAGCTGAGTTCTGTATCCCCAATATTCTAGTCCCCACCCTATCTTTCCTCCCCAAACTTATTATGCTATCTAAACCGCTAAATGCAAGTGCCTAAAAGGGCCCGAATCTAGTTTTCTTCAGAAGTGTAGCTGAATTTTTCTTTAAGGAACTCCCCTGCAGAAACCCATTATTAGTATCTGTGTCCTACAAGTTCTAAACGGGAGTAGGAAGAGGTGTAGAGAGAGAAAGGAGCTGGGAAGGAAACTCTTTGCCCCCAATCTTGTTTTTGTTACTTGATATGAAAAGTTTTAGAAAATCTCAGAAGCACAATAATTCAGCTTTTCTCCATCTCATCATTGGGCTAGAAAAAGAGATGATACTTGAAAGCAACAGACCTGGTAGTGTGTCCCAAAAATAAAACATACAAGGACTTTAAAATATCAGTGCTGAGTAGACTACTTAATTTTTCCTCTTCCTTTTGGAAATGCCAGACTTGTCAAAAAGCTGCTTTTTAAATGAAATATTAATAATGCTTTGGAGTGGAGTCATGGTGGAATGCAGGGGTTCTAAACCTATTTTGTTTAATGGATACCTTCGGAAGGTGAGGCCTATAGAACCCTTTTCAGAATGTTTGTTACCCACCTTAATAACTGAAGGGAATGCTTAGTTTCAGTTAGCGGCTAATTTTCCCATTCAAGTTTATTGCCCCCATCCCCAAATCTATCCATGATCAGTTTGTGGACCCTACATTAAGAACCCTTTGTGTAGCAGAAGAAACACCAAACCTCAAATCAGAACATCAGTGTTAGTTCAAATGACAGCCTGCCTCTTGTGTGAACTTTGGCAAATCACTTCAGCTCCATGAGCTTGTTTTGAATTTGGACTAAATTTTCTTTAAGTTCTAAATTGTGTGATTCTTTGAAGCCAGAAGGTGTATGTGTGGGTCTCACAGATGGAAAACAAAGGAGACCTGAAAATTTCCTTCAAATTTTACTTAGTTGGTGGTCTCCAGTACTTCACTTAACCCTGTTTTTCTTTCCCTGGCTTCTACCCTACTGAAGCTTGTGTCCCAGGCTATGGAAGCTATCACCTTCAGCTTTAAGCTGAGAGAATCCCCTATCCTACTTAGAAAGGTGAAGTGAGTGAGGATGTTCCCAGGTGGGAGACCTTTAAGCAGTGTGTACCTTGATACCTGGGGCCATTCTTTATTTTTCTTTGTATCCCCAGTGCTTAGCATAGTGCCTAGCACATAGCAGGTGCTTAATAAAGGTTAGCTGACTCACTAAGAGTGTTGTGATCCGGGAGTCCTAAGTTGAAATTCTGAATGCTTTCTTCACAGAAACATGGTTTCCTGTGTTGATTAGGTTTTGTAGTACTATTAGCATAAAACCGGTACTGACATTTTAGGTTAAATGGACTTTTCCAGATTGCCTGAGAACCTAATCACCATTGGTTTCTGTGAGAAAATACATTTCAGTTTCTCCCTTTGATCGCCATTGCCTGTATTTATGCTTTGTGTCTTCGGCTGAAGTACCTGAGGACTAGTACTATGTCTTAAAACATTTCTTGGTCCTTTTCTTTAGGTAACACAGTGCCTTGCATACAAAATCAGCATTTGTTGATTGATTGATTTTGATTCCCACACAAACCCTTGCAAGTGTTTGGTTCCCACACCCACCCTCATCTACCCTTGTCCTGATCCTCAACCCTTTGTTTGCTGGTCCTTGATCAAGTTCTTCCTCTAATACAGCCCCTCTTTCGACCAGAGTTCTGTGCGCAGAACCCATTGATCTCACCTAGGCTCTGTTACTTTTCCTCAGGCATCTGGAAACAAAGTCAGCCGCCAGTCAGTTCTGTGTGGGAGTCAAAATATTGTCTTAAATGGAAAGGTAAGGAACAAGATACAACTGCATTCATTTACAGGGCAACTAAAGGTTATATTTTCAACAGATGCTCCCCTTTGGTTAAGATCGATGTATACTGGGTCTCCACATTTTTAATTCTTGTAGTTCCTTTGTTTCAGAATGCTGGTTTGATAGTTCTGGTTTCCTGTACTTTTATATTCTGGCATAGTTTTTGCCCAAATCCATTTCCAATCTTAATATTCCACTTATTACCTTCGTTCTAAAACTCACTGTGTCTTAATACCGTCCTGTGCGATTAACTGTCAGTGTTCCAGTTACTGTGTATGACTTTAGTCTGTTTGATCTATCTCTTACCAGGTTTTTATGTTTGCCCTCCTTTGAGGGTGTGGCCTGGTGCCAAATGAAGAACTTGCAATTTTTATTTAGTGCATTGGAACTTTTGGTACTTTAATTCAAAAAGAAAGAAAAATCTTTTTGTTCTTATTACAGGAAGGGATTGTAAAGTCACTGGCTGTACTTGTACTCTAAGATTTTTTTAAGCCATTGAAAGTGGGTACCCCATAAAGCTTCAAGGACATAGTTTTAGAAAACTATAAGAAATTATACTTTTTTTTGCAATCAAAAATAAAGATATGGAATTTCTTGCCCCTAGAGATCATACAAACCAAAAGTAATTTTTAAAAAAAGGTATATTTAGCCAAACAAGAGATAGAGAGGTTTATAGGAAGTAAAATGGATAAGTTTTTATTGAAATTAAGTTTTTATACAGACCAAACCAGTGCAGCTAAAATGAGAAGAAAAGCAAGAAATTGAAGGGGAAGGGAATCTTTGCAGCAAGTTTCTTCGATAAAGGCCTCATTTCTCAACTTTGTAGGGAATTGAACCAAATTTGTAAGAATGAGAGTGATTCAGTCTAGGGATATGAACAGTCAATTTTCAGAAGAAATCAAAGCTATCAGTAGTGATATGAAAAAATGCTCTAAATCACTAATAATTGGAGAAATTAAAAATTAAAACAACTCTGAAGTGCCACCTCACACCCATCAGATTGGCTAAGATGACAAAAAGGAAAATGATATTTGCAGAAGGGGATGTGGGAAAGTAGGTACGGTAGTGCGCAGTTTGTGGAGCTGTGAACTAATCCAACCATTCTGGAAAGCAATTTGGAACTATGCCCGCAAAGCTATTCAACTGTGCATACCCTCTAACCTACCCATACCATACCCAAAGAAATCAAAGGAAAAGGACTCATTATGTACAAAAATATTTATAGTAGCTCATTTTGTATTGGCAAAGAATTGGAAACTGAGGGGATAACACATCAATTGGAAAATGAGTGAACAAGTTATGGTATATGAATGTAATGGAATATTGTGCTCTAGGATAGGGCTTAAACTTTTCCCACTGGAGACCCCTTTTCTCGTTTCAGCAGTATTCATTGGCATTGCGTGTGTGATGGCATGTGCAGTGCAAAGTGCACTTGCTTTGTGTTCAGAACCAAGGCTGCAGTGAAGTTGCTCAATGCAACATGGGCAAGTGCTGCCAGAAACACCTTGGATTCATTACGAGTTTGATTTCTAATAAATTTTTGGTCATTGCATGTTCAGAAACCTTTTACACATTTTTTGAAACCCCATATAGGAAATAGTGAAAAGGATGATTTGAGAAAAACCAGGGAATATTTATATGAACTAATGCAAAGTGAAGTAAGCAGAACCAGGAGAACAGTTTATACATTAACAGCAGTATTGTAAAGATAATCAACTGTGAAAGATTTAGTAACACTGATCAATATAATGATCCACTATAACGCCTAAGTACTTATGATGAAAAGTGCTGTCTACCTCCAGATACAGAGCTGATGGGCTCAGAGTGCATACTGAGCATTTTTTTCCTCTTTTTTTTCTAGTTCCCCTCATCCCCCTGAACATGGCTGATGCAGAAAATTGTTTTGTCTGATTTCACATTTGTAATAGATTTTTTATTTCTTGCCTTCTCAGTGGGTAGGGGAAAGAGAAATTTGGAACTGAAAATAAAAACTGAATGAAAAAGAGATATATTTGTTCAGGGCAAGGGCTATGTTATATCTTCTTACAGGCCTCAGCATTTAAATTGTTCAATAAAGACTTGATGATTTTTTTTTGTAAATTCATGCAAAATTGCTTTATAATGGGCTATTAAAAGGAAAGTTAGGGTCGGTCTAGATACGTCCTTAACCTCTTGATGTAACACAGGCTGCTTTGTTGTTTAGAAGCATTTATTCATGAGAGGGAATTATTGTTCCCTCCCACAAGTAATCTCTTGATGTTACTGAGGGATAGATGGTCACTAGATAGACCATTGCTCTTACATTCTTTCTTAGCAATTTTCTCTTTGTATATTCTTTTCACCAGCATATACTCCATGGAGATAGCTCTAGAGGAAGCAGATATTCTGTGACCTGTTACCTAATGAAATACTTTTTCTTCTTTCATAGACAATCATAATGAATGACTGTATTATTCGAGGGGATCTGGCAAATGTAAGAATTGGGCGCCACTGTGTTGTGAAAAGCCGTAGTGTCATAAGGCCACCATTTAAGAAATTCAGCAAAGGGTAGGTATTTCATTACCTCCTCTCCTTTTTCATGATATTGGGATGAATCCAAGAGACTTAATTCTTGCCACCATTAATGTTTTCCTTCAACTGTCAGTTTTGGAATAGATGATGCCACTAATAGCTAAGCATTTAGATTTGATTTAAGAGAACAAGATGTAATAAGTAGGTCTTGCCGTGTTGTTTTAGGCTTCAGACAAACCTTCAATCACATCTATAGTACCTGGTATGCTTTCTGATTTTCTAAGTTCCAAAGTCAACATGCCATCCTGTCTTCAGATGAGCCATACACCATCTGTCCACTGCTCTTTTCCTAGCGTTGCCTAAAGGGACCTTAAAGCATTTTTCCAAAGAGAGGATGTTGACTTCTTTATTGTTTGGAAGCATTTATCTTCTGTATGAAATCAGCTGATCAATCAACAAGCTCTTTAAAGTGCCTGGCACTGTGCTAGGGATTGGGGGTACAATCCCCACCTTTTTTCTCACTTCAGTATAATACTTCTCCATCTCATTTCTTTGGAGTCAAGTGTGATTTCCAGTTAGGCAAGTATGTATTTTTACTTATTATTTATTAAGTATTCTGCTTGACAGGTAATTTAGCATAATGGATACATAGCTGGTCCTAAAACAAAGATGCTTGGCTTCAGATCCTACCTGACACATAGTGTCTGTGTGACACTGGGCAGGGTACTTTCTCCCCCAAGTCCCTACTTGACCATCTGTCAATTCTACTTGCCTTCCAAAGGAATGAGTTGGAGAGGTATTGTACTGAAGTGAGAAAGAAGTTGAGTGACTTAACCTGTTGGTGCTCTAAGCAACTCTTTATTATCATAAGTTTCAGAGAAAATACTGACCTGCATTGATAAAGGGTTTCCTTACCTAAGAGTTCCCTATAGCAGTAAAAGTACAGGTCTGCCTTAAAGTGAACTCTAAGGAAAAACCTTGGTCTTGATTGAGTAATTAGATATTAATACAAGAGAGAAACAAGTTTGGATTGTCCTTCATGCAATAGAGAATGATTAAAGGCTTCTGAGAAAAGGGTGGTAATATGAGAAAAGTAGTATAATAATAATGTTGTACATTTATATGGGAATCTAAATTGTTTAAAAGCATTTTATCTCTATGCCTTTATAAATAATACTATATGAAAATTAGGGATGATCCATTCATTTCATCTTATAAACATGTAAGAAATAAATAAGGAAATAAATATATGTCCTGGATATGAAAAATAAATAAATAAAGTGGGCCCTGAAAATAGACATAACTGGCCTAGTCCAAAACAGGATAATATCTGCCACCTCTCCCTACCAGTGACAAGGAAGAAAGAGAAACATATAGCACATATCTGTGGCCAGAACCTTATCCCCAGTGGTGCCCTAGTGGTAGCTAAGTAATGGCATTGATAGGGGCAGAAAGAAAGGGTGGGCAGCCTACATCTGTATCAGGAAGGCCCCAGATGGAATCATATTGCTGAGCCACCTGAATTTCACTTTCTGAGAACTAGAATTACAGTGTTCTGATGTTTATTTTTCCATTTACCTAGGGGTATTTTTTGAGTTGTTCTCTTATCACCCCTGTGTTTGTATGGCTTTTTCTATCAAAATTGTTTTGGGGCAGCCTTGCAAATAGTCACTGAAAGTTGTTTTGCCTATTACTTCCAGTTGCTCAGCAATTCAATAGAAGGAAGTAGTAAAAGAGACTTGTGTACTCCTTCGTACCTCTAGAGAAAGGGAAAATAAGCCTAAGGAGCCAGATACATCTGATCTAAACTCCTCCATTCCCCTCCTCCCAAGAAAATGGAGTATTAGGCTCCAAGTTCTAAGGCATTTCTGCCTAGTATTGGAAAATACAAGAGAGGTGCTCCATGAAATGGGTAGGATCTACAGCTGGGCTTGCTACAGACTCTTATCTATGGGACTAGTGCCCCTTCTTAGCCTAGGTATGGGTGCCCATTTTCATTACTGTTCTAAGATTTCAAATAGGATGTTGTCAGTAGCTCTTTTCATGACTTCAGTTTTGACCTTATACTTTGGAGATCTGTGTTAAATCTCCCAAGGATAAGGATATGTCACCTGTATCTCAAGACTTAGAATTTTGTTCAGTTGTTTTCAGTCATGTCTGACTCTTTGTGACCCCATTTGGGGTTTTCTTGGCAAAGATATTGGAGTGGTTTCCTTCGCCAGCTCAATGGACAGATGAGGAGACTGAGGCAAACAGTGTTAAGTGACTTGGTCAAAGTTACTCAATAAATGTCTGAGGCCAGATTTGAACTCAGAAAGAAGAGTCTTCCTGACTCCTGACCTGGCTATCTACTGAGCCACTTAGCTAGACTTAGAATAGTGTCTTGGAAAACAGTAGACTTCTTCCAGAAAGATTTCTTGGGGGTTCAGTTTCTTACTGCTTTTCCTGTAGGGCAAGTGATATTAAGAATTCCTACTCTTCCTTTAAAACTAGAATCTAGGTAAAATAACCCAACAGGTGACTAGAATAATTTGAAGAAGTCTGTCACTGTAGTATCAGTGAAAACAAAACTTTTTTTTTAAATTTATTTATTTATTTATTTGTTTGTTTTTGGTTAGGCAGTGGGATTAAGTGACTTACCCAGGGTCACACAGCTAGGAAGTGTCATGTGTCTGAGGCCAGATTTGAACTCAGATCCTCCTGAATCTCGGGCCGCTGCTCTATCCACTGCGCCACCTAGCTGCCCCTGAAAACAAAACTTTTAAAAAATGTTATGTTAAGTGTTATGTTATGTTAAATGTTATGTTAAGTGATTGCCAGCATAATAATAAAACTTAAAACCTTTACTGATCTGTGAAGAACAACTTTCTTTGCTATTCAAAATTGTATTTTAATGACTTCAAAATGTGTTTTCCTGTTCCCTAACCATTTAGGCTTTCATGGAACACTTCATCTTTCTAATAGCCAGATATTAATGTCAAAGATTGTTCAGCAGAACCAACAGAATCTATTGGGAAATGGTGTGCCACCCACCCACCTCCATACCTGTTGAATTTGTTCACCAAAGTTTAAGAAAGAAACTGTATATTCTCCGTCATTCCTAAACCCAGGAAGAATATTTTTGATAGTAGTAGCTGCCAGTTCTTCCTGGCAATGTTTTCTGAAAAACAATTTTTGACCTTTATTTCCCACAGCCCTGCCTAGTGCGAAAGCATGAAAATAAATTTCATAGAGTATGTCAAATCCAAAAAGTAGGATTAATACTATTATTTACCACCAGATGTCAGTGTAAGCATGAAAAAGACCTCTTTCTGAAGACTAATTGCAATATCTTTTCTAGTAGCTATAATTAATTTTTCCTACCTTTCTTCTTTTTCCAAATAAAAGTCATTTTTCAAGATGCTTTTACAAATACGTCACAATTATTGCAGTTTTGCTGCTTAATGACTATTGAGCGTCCACGGTAGTCTAAGTATTGCTTTCTGGATTACATCAGAGGCAGTTTAATCTATGGACAAGCATATTCAGCAGCCCTTCCTGAAAGATTCAGCTTTCTTAATAGGCTAGTTTGGAAAAATATCATTGGGCCTAAAGTTGCCTTGGACTAGGGGTGGGGAACCTGTGTCTTGGTGCCACGTATGGCCCTCTGGGTCCTCCAGTGAGGCCCTTTGCGGGAATCCAAACTTTAGAGGATTTGGTCAAAGGGCCACACTTGAGGGCATAGAGGGCCACATGTGGCCTGGAGGCCCCAGGTTCCCCACCCCTGCCTTGGACTCGGAAAATGCTCAATTCAGAAATTAGATATGCCAATTACTTCTTCTTCTCTCTCTTTTTTTTTTAGTGAGACAATTGGGGTTAAGTGACTTGCCCAGGGTCACACAGCTAGTGAGTGTTATGTGGCTGAGGTCGGATTTGAACTTGGATCCTCCTGACTCCAGGGCCAGTGATTTATATCCACTGCACAACCTAGCAGCCCCTATGCCAATTATTTCTTTTGGGAATAGCTATTAACTAAGTTAATGTTCTTGTCTTTTCTGGTTAATTCTTTCCATAGTCACTGCCTGTAATTACATAAAGGAAGCCTCAGGTAAGCTTCAGGCATCAAGGTGGCACAATGAACTTAGAGTCAGAAAGACCTGAATTCAAATGTAGCCTCAGACACTTAGCCATGTGACTCTTGGCAAGTCATTTAACCTATATCTTCCTCAGTTTCCTCATCTATAAAGCATGGTTAATAATAGGACCTACTTCCCAGGATTGTTGTGAGGATAAAATGACATAATATTTGTCAAATGTTTTGCAAATTAAAAAGCAGTTTGTAAATGTTGTTAGACAAAAACCTGAATGTTGGAACATAAGTTTAAGAACAACAGTACAAGTTACTAGAAGCCAGGAACAGATAGAAAAGCATCTTAGAACATTGATATTTTTATTGCTAGAGTTAGTGGCTGTTGATTTTTAATAAGTTAAGCATTAGGTCATTTTATTGAGATTTTTATTGACTTCAGAGCAAATAGTAGGAGTAAGTGGTTTTTGTTGCTCTTAGATGTAGACACTAGAAGCTATTGAATTGTTAGTGGAATGGAAATCGTTCTATCTTTAAAGCTTCTTTAACAATTAAAAAAACATGAAAAATAAGAGAAATTAGCAATATGTTCTTTTTCAAGGGTCCTGAGCTATTTTAGGTACCATGATTAATTTCTTCTCCATTCAGTTCAGTTAGTACTAGAATTAGTACTGGTCTTTGAGTGTTTGTATTGGGTGTCTAATCAGCATTCTCATCAAACAGTGTTTATTAAATATCTACTTGTTTGTTAAAGCCGTTGTGCCAAGCTCTTCTCATTTCCTCCATCTTTTCTTTATGAATCCCTTTCTCTTCCTTTTGGTGCCACCCATCCTTTGAGATGCCCAGTTCTTTCATGCTGTTCTGATGACCCATCAAAAAGGAAGAAGAACAACAAAATGATAAAGTAATTCACATGAGTGTTACTGACTGAACTGTGTTACCTCTGGAGAATATTGGAGCTGCCTAGAAA